GAAAGTTCAGCAGTCGCTGCTGGTCGTCCCATCGCTTCTTGTGTCTCTCTCACCACGCTCCTGTGAACGCAGCCCAGAATGAGCTTTGCTTTCCCCGCAACCGTGCCCCACGGCTGACTCAGGTGTCGCTTGTGGGACACTCTGACCCCTAGATCCCTTTCTGCAGTTTCCTTCTGAGACAGTCACTTCCCATTCGGTAGTTGTGACACGGGTTGTTCCTCCCTCAGTGGAGCACTTTGCATTCATCCTTATTAAACTTCATCCTATTTACTCAGACCATTTCTCCAGTTTGTCTACATCATTTAGAATTGTGACCCTGCCCTCCAAAGCACTCACAACCCCTCCCAGCTTGGCATTGTCTGCAAACTTAATAAACGTATTCTTTGTGCTATTCCCTAAGTTGTTGATGAAGATATTGGACAGAACTAGTCCCAAAACAGACCCCGGCGGAATCCTACTTGTGCTGCCCTTCCAGCATGACTGTGAACCATTAATAACTTCTCTCTGAGAATGGTTATCCAGCCAGTTATGCACCCACCTTAGAGTCGCCCCATGTATGTTTTATTTCCTTAGTTTATTGGTAAGTGGGTCAGGCGAGACCGCATCAAATGCCTTACTAAAGTCTAGGTATACCACATCCGCCACTTCCTGCTTAGCCACAAGACTTGTTATCCTATCAAAAAGGCTCAGTGGGGAAGCTGTGTTTGTCTGTAACTTTAAAAACAATGAATAGTCCTGCGTCACGTTGGAGGCTCACAAATATATATAGGATCATGAACTTTCGTGGGCAAAGCCTCCGTGAGCTGGAGTACAAATATCAAAAACCAAGTTATTTATAATAGAGAAGAGAGAGAATTGTTTTAGGTACCTGTCAATAGTAGTGTTGGTGTTAATGAGGTTAATTTAGTGGGCAAGAAGTATCCCATATTTAGCTTTTGATGTAAAAATGTAATGTTAAAAGTAGGGCAGGCTGGCTTTATAATGTGACAACCAGTTCATGTCTTTGTGCAAGCCCAGGGAAACAGTGTCAGATTTGCAGATGAAGGTCAATTTTGTTTTCTCTCTCTCTGTGATTGGCTGGCGAAATTCTTTTCATAGAATCATAAAACACTAGAACGGGAAGGGACCTTGAGAGGTTATTGAGTCCAGTCCCCTGCCCTCATGGCAGGACCCAGCACTGTCTAGACCATCCCTGATAGATGAGTAGAAGAACGGCTACTTTTAAATCCATGACTGAGAGCCCAGATAGATTAAAATGTTCCCCTGCGGGTTTCTCTGTGTTACCATTCCTGATGTCCGATTTGTGTCCATTTATCCTTTGTCACAGAGACTGTCTGGTTTGGCCAATATCCATGGTAGAGGGGTGTTGCTGGCACATATCATATCAGAGCTCTGTAAAACTTTAGAGTCGACGAGTTCACTCAGTCCTACTTCTCGTGCCGTCAATCGCTCAGACAAACTTTTGTAGCCAATGTTGCAAGATGCCTGTCAGATGTGCTGTCAACTGATGGTCAGGGCAGTGCGTGGTCTGTGTGTGTTATACACCCAAGTCTTCAACTGCTAAGACACAAAGTCCCTCCGCAGCAGGCGGCCTAAGGAAGGCTGACGGATGCCCCAAGGGTCTGTCCCATGGAGGCGACAGAACCCAAATGCCCAGCTCTCCCTGCGTCTGCCCCTATGACAGGCTGGAGTTCTTTTAATTGTGTTTGGTTCTGTTACAGCAACAGGAGGAGTCAGGTTAAAGCTTAAACAGTTACAGATTTATTAAAGAGGTTTCTAAAGCATGTGGTTACAGTGGCTATTGCTCTATTTCTTAACTGCTAGCAAATACAGATCTTAAAATGGTTACAAAGGAAAAACAAAAGGAAGATAGAAAGTAACGGTACCAAGTGACAGCTTAACCTTTAAAGAGCTCTATTCTATGCATGCACTAAAACAAAAGGACACATACAGGTACAATTTGTACCCCCTTCTGCGTCCCTCAATTCCAGCATGTCAGGCCAGGTTCGGTCCCTCAATTCCCCGGGAAAAATGAATACGAGCCTGGGTGTCCTCATGTGGACCTCAGGAGGCAATCACCTAACCCGACCAGCAGGTAGATGGTAGATTGACGCTCAGAGAGAGTGTACTGCTGGACCCATCTCTACACCCATGGGGTCACGCATTCTCTTTCTTATCTATGATGCCAAATGGTGCTGGTTCGTCTTTGTGATGCCAGTTCTTACAAGGGAGTTGTGAACTTAATTTACACTTGTAAGAGAGAGAACTAAATTGGAAGTACTGGATATTCTTTGCTCAGCGGGAGATTCTCCCGCCCCGAGAACGATCGTGTGATCGTATCAATATCAGTGCTAGCCAAGGGCAGTTTTCACAGCCTCTAGCAGGTCAACAATTGGCGTATCTCTGTTTACAGCCATCCAGGGTCACAGCAGCCAGCATATCCGGGCCTGTGTCAAGGCTTCAAAGACTATGCTGATTTTATTGCTTTCTATGCCCTGTGTGCTCCAGGCACCTCAGAAGGGCAAGCAAGATGGATGTTGCAAGGGGGGTTCTGTCTGGCTACATGCGCTAAAGATCCTTATGTCCCATCATGCTTCAGCCACCATTCCTGAGGGCACATGCATGACGATGACGGGTTCTGCTCGATAACGAGCCATAGCAGAGTAGGCGGATGTAATACAGGATGTTTCTGGGGATACCACTGAAAGGGGTCAAATCAGGGAAATTGCTCAGAGACAGGGCTACTTACAGCCCAAGCTGGAGTCCTTCCCTATATGGCACCAAACCTTCCAAAGAGCACTTCTGTTTGCCACACTGGCTAACGAGAAACCACACAAGCAAGCCCATTAGACACGCCGGCGTTCCAGTGCCAGCACCAGCACCGCTCCTTACACAGGTGAGAGGTTATGAAAACCAGTCTCACCAAATCCGAACAGGTTCTCCCAATCCCAAGGATCGACCACGTTCTCTGGTCAAATTCTACCTCGGATCTTACCCAAAAGAGCCGGCTGGGCTGATCTTTTAGAATCTTAAAAGGTTTATTAATAAAAAGAAAGAAAGGAAAGGTGAGAAAGTTGTGAAGGGAATCCAATCGCACACGCCGGTTGCAAAGTGCCTGGGGCAGGCTTGGAGCAGAGGTGGAACGATCTGCTGGCTTAAAAGAAGTGTTTGGAACACACCCTCTGCTAGGCCGGGTCATCCGTCCTCTCAGGCTCCGGTTCCCAGCAAAGACCCTTCAGAGGGGATTATCCAGACTGAAGACAAATGGTGGAACCTCCAGGGCCCTTTTCATACCCATGTGGAGAGAATCCCGTTGCTCTCGCCATGTGAAAGTCTGACCCAAGATGGAGTTTGTCACATGGGCACATCACCTGACCAGGCAGGACTCAGTCCCTTTTAGGCAGCAGCCTCCCGTGCTGCTCTGAGTGTTCCCAGCAAATCTCCTCAGATGTGGATCTGTGCCACTTGAGGTGCATTGTCAGTCAAGTGCTGCTAGTCGCTTAACTAATAGGCTCCTCACAATAGGTTGGTATCTCCTGGAAGCAAACATCTCAAATACATTTAAGAACATAAGAACAGCCGTACTGGGTCAGACCAAAGGTCCATCTAGCCCAGTAGCCTGCGTGCCGACAGTGGCCAGTGCCAGGTGCCCCAGAGGGGGTGGACCAAAGACAATGATCAAGAGATTTGTCTTGTGCCATCCATCTCCAGCCTCTGACAAACAGAGGCCAGTGACACTATTTCTACCCCCTGGCTAATAGCCTTTTATGGACCTAACCTCCATGAATTTATCTAGCTTCTCTTTCAACTCAGTTATAGTCCTAGCCTTCACAGCCTCCTCTGGCAAGGAGTTCCACAGGTTGACTATGCGCTGTTGTGAAGAAGAACTTTCTTTTATTCGTTTTAAACCTGCTACCCATTAATTTCATTTGATGTCCTCTAGTTCTTCTATTATGGGAACTAATACATAACTTTTCTTTATTCACCCTCTCCACACTACTTATTATTTTATAGACCTTTATCATATCCCCCCTCAGTCTCCTCTTTTCTAAACTGAAAGGTCCAGTCGCTTTCACCTCTCTTCATATGGGACCCATGCCTAAACCCCTAATAATTTTAATTGCCCTTTTCTGAACCCTTTCCAAGGCCAAATAACTTTTTTGAGGTGAGGAGACCACATCTGTACACAGTATTCAAGCTGTGGGCGTACCATAGTTTTATACAGGGGCAGTAAGATATTCTGGGTCTTATTTTCTATCCCTTTCTTAATTATTTACAGAGCCAATACTCATAACTTCAGCTGCAAAAATGGTACACAGCTCTGAACAGTACCAACAGAATCAGGGAACCATACATTTTCTAGAGATGCTTCACTTGGCCCACTTTTTCCAAGATTTGGTGCTAACACATAACAGTGATTTGTATGTTAAATTGCAGCAAGGGAGGTTTAGGTTGGACATTAGGAAAAAATTCCTGCCTGTCAGGGTGGTTAAACATGGGAATAAGTTGCCTGGGGAGGTTGTGGAATCTCCATCCCTGGAGATATTTAAGAGCAGGTTAGATAGACATCTACCAAACAATATGGTGTTTGGTCCTGCTGTGAGGGCAAGGGACTGGACTTGGTGACCTCTCCTGGGTCCCTTCCAAGTCTATGATTACAATCCAATAACGTCACAACAGAGACCTTGTTCATTGTCGTCATCCGAGTCAGATGCCACCAGCATTTGCTGGTTCAGGTTCTGTAGTTTCCGTATCAGAGTCCTGCTCTTTTAAGACATCTCAAAGCATGCTCCACACCTCCTCCCTCTTGGATGGTTGAAGACACTCCAGAGGCTTGGAATCATAGGGTGTGTCTAAACTACATGGCTCCATCGACAGAGTCATGTAGATTAGGCTGATCGGCAGAGGGAAATCAAGCCGTGATTTAAATAATCGTGGCTTCATTTAAATTTAAATGGCTGCCGTGCTCTGCCGACCAACTGATGATCAGCTGTTTGTCGGCAGATCGGGGCAGTTTGGACGCGCCGCAGTCGACAAGGAAGCCTTTGTCGACGGGCACAGGTATGCCTCGTGAAAACAGGTTTACCTGCGCCGGTCGACAAAGGCTTCGTTGTCAACTGTGGCGCGTCCAGACTGCCCCGATCTGCTGACAAACAGCTGATCATCAGCTGGTTGGCTGAGCACTGCAGCCATTTAAATTTAAATGAAGACGTGATTATTTAAATTGTGGCTTCATCTCCCTCTGCCTATCAGCCTAATCTACATGGCTCCGTCGACAGAGCCATGTAGTTTAGAAACACCCAGAGATTCCTAGGCCTGGAAGGGACCTCGAGAGGTCATCGAGTCCAGTCCCCTGCCCTCACGGCAGGACCAAGCACCGTCATGACCACGCCTTCTGGGTGTGGATCATTGTCCCATGTAGTGGGACATAAATCACACAGGCTATGTCTACACTGCATGCTTATTTCAGAATAAACTACTCCGAAAGAAATACTTGAAACAGCTTCTTTCGAAATAGCACTTCTACATTACAGGGACACCTGGAAATTAGTCTGTGGCCAGCTCCCCTAATGTGGACACACTACCGCGACTTATAGCCCCAGGAAGCACAGGGGAGTAATTATTCTCAATGGCCTCGGGGAGGCGCTATTTCGAAATAGCCGCAGTGGAGTGTCCACGTGACCGCTATTCCGAAATCACTATTATGGAAGAGGCGTTATTCCTGGTGGAATGAGGTTTACAAACACCAAAATAAGCCACCCGGTATTGCAAAATTATTTCAAAATAACGGGCGAGCCAGGTAGGCGCTCATATAGTTATTACAGAATAATAGGCGCTAATCCGAAATAACACTGCTGTGTACTTATACCCTGCCATAGCAAAAGAATGAATTTGCTCTCCAGCCTGAGCTGAGAGCTCAAGTGATGGAGGCTCATGCACTAAGCTCCAGGGTTCCCAGGTTCAATTCCACTGGCTGGCATTATGCTATCTTCGAAAATCTCACATTGGTATTTCTTTGTATTTTGTCAAATCTACAGTGAAAGCATTCTTAAAACAAATGACATATGCTGGGTGATCATCTGAGATGGACAGAACATGGATTATACAGCAGAGTGTGGGTAGAACACAGCACGAGAGGCACACAGCTCTCCCTCTAGGAGATCAGTCACAAATCTAATTAGCATAGTATTTTTTTAACAAGTGTCACCAATATGGAAGCATGTTCTCTGGTGCATTTGAATATTTAGTGTATCTGGCACATAAATACCCTTGTAATGCCAGCTACAAACAAGCCATGCAAATGCCTGGTCTCACTTTCAGGTGACACTGTAAATAAGCAGGCAGCTTTCCCTCCCATCAGTGTAAACAAATGTGCTTGTGTGACCAATTGGCTGAACAAGAAGTAGGACTGAGTGGACTTGTAGTCTCTGAAGTTTTACATTGTTTGGTTGTTGAATGCAGATACATGACAAAAAAAATCTACATTTGTAAATTACACATTTATGCTAAAGAGATTGCACTGTGGTACTCGTGTTAGGTGAACTGAAAAAATACAATTTATTTTATAATTATTACAGTTCATTTATTTGTAATAAAAATAATAATATAAAGTGAGCGCTGTAACTAAAGTCAGAATTTGAAAAATGTAAAACCCTGCCAGAAATACTGGGATTCTATTGTTTAATGGTCCAATTAAAACTGTGATTAATTCCTTTAGTCACAATTAATTTGAGTTAACCATGTGAGTTAACAGCAATTTATCAATAGCCCTATTATTTACCTTTTCACATAAAACATGAACTGGAGGCAACCTGACAAAATGAACAGGCAGCAGGTGTAATGCGAACTAACAGTAGTACATTTCACACACACACACACACACACACACACACACACACACACACACACACCGTTAACCCATGGAACTCCTTGCTAGCTGGCTTCAAAAAAGGATGGCAAGCTTCCGGAGGATTGGAAGCAGCCACATGTCGCCAGCATGGGTAGGTGCCCTGGGACAACCCTAAACAGCTGGCTGCTGGAAGATGGGAGGAGAAGATGGGTTGGCTTGCTGGCCCATTCTGTGTGCTGCCCCTGGAGCCCTGGTCCTGGTCATCAGCCGGCAGGGAGAGTGGGGGGTTCTCATGTGGCCTGCAGTGTTAGTTGCGGGACAGGCCATGCTCCCACAGGCAAACAATAGGGAAATCCCCCATAAGTGTCACCTCCCTCCTTCAACTGGTATCAGGTGGGCGGCTTATACGCGAGTTGGCCTCTGTATGCCAGTCAATAAGGTAGCAACAGCCCTTTTTGGACATTGTCCATGGGCAGGTTAGAATCAGGCCTGAACATGTATGTGAGTAAATACGATAACAATGGGCCCTATGCGTGGGTCAGGAGGGGAAAGCTGCAGGGATCTGTAATTATGGTAACAAGGCAGGGGGAGGCTGTTCCTCCCCCCTGAGCCAGCCAGATTCCCCCTGCCCCACTGGATGACAGCTGGCACCCCCTGAAGGGGAAAGGCCCCACATCCTTTTCCCTGCCCCCCCGCTCTAACCACCAGTCCCTGCTACCCTCCCAGAGCCAGCGGGAGAACCCAGGTGTCCCTTGGTGCACATCTGAGGGGAGTCTGGAGATACCAAGGGGGGGTGGGAATCACTCACCAGACAAGAAGAGTCTCTGCGAACAGGATCTTTATTCTCCATGGTACATAGAGGGGTCCCATTGTGGGGCCTGTCTCCACTCTTCCCCCCTTGGGGGGGTTGTTGGAATCAGTCTCAGGACTCTGCAGGCTCCGTCCGGCCCCGTGGCTCTAGGAGCAGCGCAGGGCCCAGGCTCGGCTCTAGGAGGATCGGTGAGCAACCAGCGTCACCACACCTGGGGGGAAGAAAGAGAAATGAGCTGAAAGCAGCGATGGAAGCATCGTCTGGTACCCTGTGCCCCACCCCAGAGGCAGCTGCCTTTTGACACTCACCGGCGAGGAGGAAGAGGGGGCAGGCGGCCCAGCCCAGGCCGAAGGACCAGCCGAAGATGAACTGGGTGGCATTCACAGCCTCAGAAAACTCTCCAGTGTACATCGCCATGGCCACCAGGGCGCAGAACCCTAGGGCACAGGGAACAGCACAGACCCCCCTTAGTGCAGCCCACACGCAGCTCCCGGCCCTGCCCTGCCCACCACCAGGGGGAGCTGCCAGAGCCCCGAGCAGGATTTGTGAGGGGGGAGGCCGGGACTCAGTTCCCCTTGGCTGGCTGTGGGTGGGAAGGGGGAGTTCCCTGAGAGACGAGTTTCCTAGGGGAGACGGGGACGTACCTGCCGTGAAGCTGGCCAGGAAGGAGAGCAGGGCCAGGGGCACAGAGCGGAGGTGGGAGCGCAGGAATGAGGCGAGGAGAACAAAGCAGGAGAGACACCCAGCGATCGCGGCCAGAAGCGTGAATGCCCTGATGACCTTTAAAGAGTCTGTAGCAAAGGAATGGGGTAAATAACCAACATTGCACTGGTTACGGGACCCAGGAGTCGTGGCTCCCAGCCCCCCTCAATCTACCAGCCCCCACTCCCCTCCAAAAGCAAGGAATAGAACTGCCCGATGGTGCTGGTTGGTGGCAGCGGTGGGATCCCCAGAAGCCTTACCTGATGCTGAAGAAATTTGCTCACACACTGAGTCCACACAGCTCTTCCATAGCCCCTCATGGAAGGACTGGGGGCCAGTGCTGGCCACCCGCCAGTAGTCCGAGACCAGGGCCACCCGCAGGAGGCTGAGCAGGGCCAGGGCAACGCTGGGGATCTGAAGAGGCAGCATCGTGGGGGGAGTTTAGGGGCAGCGCTAGGATCCGGGGTGCACCTGGGGGTGGGGAATGAGAGTCAGAGGGATCCCCAGCCCAGAGCTGCGGGGGGAGCATGCAGGGAGGGAGAGGGACGTGTGAGGAGGGTGGGGTATGGAAGGAAGGGTGTGCAAGGGGGGACAGGGTGGGTGTAGTGGGGTGGGTGGGGAGGGACAGGGTTAGGGTTATCGATGGGCACAAATGGGTACAGATGGGGTGGGCGTTAGGGTTAGGGTTAGGGTTAGGGTTAGAGTTAGGGTTAGGGTTAGGGTTAGGGTTAGGGTTAGGGTTAGGGTTAGGGTTAGGGTTAGGGTTAG